GTAGAGACAAGGTCCTCACTGTGTTGCCTAGGCTGGTCTCAAATTCCAGGGCTCAAGCAATCCTCCTGTCTCAGCCTTCCAAAGTACTGGGATTATAGGCATGAGCCACCACACCTTGGCCAAGTCTGTCATTTGTCTGAGAGCATTTTGATACCTACACTTCCATAAAAGTCAAACATATACCCAAAGCCCAGCCCAGGGTCTGAGCAATATCTGCTGGCTTGTACAGACCACTCTCCCAAGTCCCATTCATGAGCATGGATAACAGAGATGGTAACACCGGTGACTTGCCTGTGTGGCCCTTTCACAGAATCCCCGGGTTAAGAAGGCCTTCAGAAGCCTGCAGGGCCAGAGCCTTGTCTCTAAAAGCTTTGCTTGGCACAAATAGATTCAGGCCACTCTCCCCCTTGTTTCCTCTCAAACGGTAAGATTTACTGTCTCAAGACTTACTGTCTTTACCAGTGAAGGTGACCAGTTTGCCTGTGATAGTTTTCAGTCCTGGGCTTCTCTGTTTTCATACTCAGCCTGGCCTTGCACGACTCAGATCTGTGCTACCATAAAGGCTACCTGCAACAAATTTATCCACACCATGCAGCCAGGATGTGGGAAAGACCTGTTCTCCTCCCCAATTTGCTCCCCTGTGGAAGAGTAAGGAGTTGGACTCCATGCCTTCAGAGGGCCCCTGTAGACACGATTCCATGCCTCGCCTTCCCTGACGCTGACGCTGTCTCCTTCCAGCTCCGATCCAAGGAATCTGTTGGTGGTTGTCCTCCCTCCCCTGTCCCCTCATTCTTCCAGTTCTGTCCACCCTCATTCCTGCAAGGCCGTATTATCTTCCCCGGCCCCAGCCAGGCTGCCCAAGTTCCCTTCGGCATTACTTGGCCTTTCCGCTGTTCACCGGGGCCACTGCTCTGCCAGCCTGGCCTGCCCACCTCCGAATCCCAGCATATCAGAGCTGCAGACAGCTGGAGGCATGTGTTCTGAGCCTGGCCCTGCCCCTGACTGGCTGGATGAATCAGGTACGTCATCTTCTCTTTGGGCCTCAATCTTTTCAAATATAAGATAGGGCCCCAGGCTGGGTGCAGTGGCTCACGCCTGTAATCCCAGCACTTTGGGAGGCTGAGGCGAGAGATTTACTTGAGCTCAGGAGTTCAAGACCAGCCTAGACAACATAACTAGACCTTGCCCTATGAAATTTTTTTAAAAAGTTAGCCAGCCATGGTGGCACAGGCCTGTGGTCCCAGCTACTCAGGAGGCTGAGGCAGAAGGAGCCCAAGAGGTTAAGGCTGTGGTGAGCCATGATTGTGCCACTACACTCCAACCTGTACAAGAGTGAGATCCTCCAACTCAAAAAAAAAAAAAAAGAAGCCCTATCACTCTGACATTCTGTGATGCTAACTACATCTGGTAAACCTCACATTTTGGTCATATCCTGTTTATACACGGTTGAATCTTCTTTTTTTTTTTTTAAGTTGGAATCCCACTCTGTCCACCCAGATTGGAGAGCAGTAGCATGCTCACAGTCACCACAGTCCTGACCTGCTGGGCTCAGGCAATCCTTCCACCTCAGCCTTCCAAGTAACTGGAACTACAGGTGCATGCTACCACACCTGTCTTATTTTTTGATTTATGCCGAGACAAGGTCTCACCAAATTGCCCAGGCTGGTCTCGAACCCCTGAGCTCAGGGAGTCCTCTCGCCTCAGCCTCCCAAAGTGCTGGGATTACAGAATTGAGCCACCACACCCGGCCCTGAATCTTCTTGGTTACAAAAAAAAAAATCTTCTTGGTTACAAAAAAAAAACAACAACAACAGTCTTCTTGGTTCCAAAGGTCTGGATACATCATAAGCTAATCATGTCCCCTAGGGTAATAGCCTATGGTAACCAGTTGGCTTAAACTAGGGGACCCAGGCATTATGTGACCCCGTGAAAGGCTCCCACCCAGTACATCCTGTCTGGAGTAGGCATCTCATGTTTGGGGCATTCTGCTAGCACCCACGCCATGGTGATCCCTCAGGGCTCATCACCGATAGGCTGAACCTGCAGAAAGGTGAGCAGGTGGGATACAAGGGAAGACAAGGAGGCTTTGGGAGCAGGGGGAGGGAGAGATGAGGATGAGATAATGAAGCTTCACTGTAATTTGGAGCCTCTGCATTTTCAAGGGAGGTTGTTTCAGAGTTATTTTCACAATAGAACTGGGTATTCTGATCTACCTCACTGCTGCGTGGAATCAAAAATAATACAGCATGTTGCTATATCATCAGCTAGTGGCTTCTCTTTCTGAGCAGCTTTTACCCAGCAATTAAGTGAAATTATGTGACTCAGTATGGAAAGATAATCGCCGGAGAAACTCTTCTGATTGCTTTCTCCCGCACATGCAGCGAGCGGCTGCACACACGGTGAGAGGATCGAGAGGAAAATTAACATGCAGTGTTGCTGCTACCCCAATGTCAGCTGTTTACCAGCGGGAAGATAAATCAGAGCATGGAAAAGAGAAGAAAAATGAGCAGAACCCGCATTCTTTCTCATAATATACCACAGATGAGGCAAGATGTGAGAGGCCCCATTTTCGGATGGATAGAAGGGTCCAAATGGTTACAGAGTTGGGGAGCAGAACAGTGAGGAGACTTGGGAGTCCCCCACTCCAACAGTGTTGGATTCTCGGGGGACCCGAGCCAGTGAGCCAGGTCCTCGGCCTCCTAGGCAGGGATCTAGGGCCCAGCTTGCACATGGAGGCTCCCATAGTGACCCCGCACCTCCTCCACCCAGTCCACCCTGTTCCTCCCACTCTCTTCCATTTACTCCCTTTACCCTGTGGCCTGGAAATGAGGTTTATCACTCCCACCACCTCTTCACTTCCCCACCTCTGCTAGCCCCAGGCAGCTGTTTTTCGTCCTGGAAGGAGGAGAAAGGAATGTGCGCCAGCTGGGACAGTGGGGGGGTGGGGGTTGGTTGGGGACTGGGGGGGTG